ACTTAATAAGGACTTTTTAATGACTTTTCTTCACCTTCTAACACACTTCTCACTATCTCTCATAACGCAGTCATACTTGTGGGACTTCAACATTCACATGGACAATAATAGCAACCCTCTCACCAAAGAACTTCTCCTCCTGTTTAGATAGTTTTTGGTTACAACAACACATTCATTTCCCCACCCACACTAAAGGTCACATTTTGGACTTAATCTGCTTCACTGGTCCCCTCACTCCCACTGACTGTAACCCTCACACACTCCCATACACAGACCAGAAGCCATCACCTTCCAATAATCAACCTCACCCCTCTCCAAGACCATCCATCCCCGACCATTTCTTTCCGTAGAAAAAAAAAAAATTCAGGACATAAACACAGCCACCTCGCCCCCACCCAGATATCAAAACCACCCCACAACTGAACCCAATGTACTCCCCCGATGACCTGGTCTCCCACTACAACACTTCTCTCCAAACCTCCTGAACACTCAGCTCCTCTCAAAACCCGACCCTTCTCTTCACGCTCTCAGCAACCCTGGTTCACCACTGCCCTCCGACAGCTCAATCCCAATACGACAACTTGCACGCTCTTCAATAAACCTGACTCACCATTCACAAACAAATGTACAATAACCAAATCATGCTATACAAGGACCATCTCTCTGCTGCCACATCCACCTACTACTCCGGTTTAATCCACTCCAATCATCAAAACTGCCAAAACACTCTTCTCTCTTCTCACCAATATAACCAACCCCCTGACTCCCTCCCTCACCATATGCAATCCCCTGACTTCTGTAACTCACTCATGTCCTTCTTTATTACCTCCAACAACTCAGTCCATCCCACCAACACCTTACCCCACATGGAGCTGCAGGCCTCTTGAGTGGACCCCCCAGCCCCCTACGCTCCCCTCAAAGCCACATTCTCCAGCTACATCTGCCCACCGTCCAAGCCATCCTCCGCTTTAGCATTAAATCCAAACCTTCTACCTCTCAGCTCGACCCTCTCCCAACGTTCTGGTCAAATCCTTCCTCCCTCAGCTGCCCCCCTCACAACTAATATCATTCACTCATCTCTCACTTCCTGGTACAGTCCCTCTCTCATTCAAAACCGCCTCATCTCACCCCATTCTCACAAAACTGCCTGGATCCAACCAACATCAACAACCACCGTCCCATCTCAAACCTTCCTTTCAACTCCAAAATACTTGAAAAAACTTCGCTGCTCAACTCCACACCCACCACACCACCAACAACATCTACGAACAATTACCGTCCTGGTTTCCGTCCCCCTCCACAGCACCGAAACAGCTCTTCTAAAAATCACTAACGATCTCCTCATAGCCTCTGACTCCGGATTACTCTCCATCCTCATCCATCAGGCCCTCACAGCAGCTATTGACACCATTCACACTCCACCCTCCAGAACAGACTCTCCTCCATCGGCATCACCCACACCCCCCTCGCCCTGGTTTCTCCTCCATCTTACATGTCGCTCACAGTACATATCATCTCAAATCCACAAATCCCCACTTAGACTTCTCTGCTGGTGTCCCCCAGGCTCTGTCCTGGGCCCCTCCTCTTCTCATCTAATATTCTCCCACTCGGTCACATCCTCCGCCGTCACAACATTCTCCTACCACTGCTACGCGGATGACACCCAGACACTTGACTTAGGGGGAGGGGAGGACAGATGCTGTTTTTGGATGAGGATTGAGAAGCTGGTAGATTTGGGAGAATTGGATGGGGTGCCTATGAGAAGTACTATCGAGTTTTTATTTGAGCTATTGAGTTAGAGAAGTTGCAGAGAACCAGGATGATTTTCTTGTAGACAGAGGGTGAGGGAGTATGGAGGGAGAGCGGAAGATGGTTTAGGCGGAGAGGAGAGCAGGGTTTCATCCGCGTAAGCAGTGAAGTGAAGTTGTGACGGCGGAGGATGTTACCGAGAGGGAGAATATTAGATGATGAAGAGGAGGGGCCGCCCAGGAACAGAGCCCCTGGGGGACACAGCAGAGTCAGGAAAAATGCGGGATTTTTGGGATTTGAGATGAATGAACTGTGAGCGACCAGAAGATAGGAGGTGAACCAGGCGAGGGGGGTTTGGGTGAAGCCGTATGTAGGATAGACAGTCAGGAGGGTGGAGTGAGAAATGGAGTCAAAAGCTGCAGTGAGGTCCAAAAGGAATGAGGATGGAGAGTAAACCCCGGCAGTCAGAGGCAATGAGGAGATCGTTAGTGATTTTTAGAAGAGCAGTTTCGTGCTGAGGAGGGGACGGATAACCAGAACTGAAATTGTTGGGCGGCAGATGTTGTAGGTGGTGAGGTGGTTGTGGAGTTGTGAGCAGCGACAGATTTTCAAGTATTATGGAGATGAAGGGCAGGTTTGAGATGGGACGGAGGTTGTTGAAGTTGGTTGACTCCAGGCCAGGTGATTGAGAATGGGAGAGACAGAGGCTGTTATTGAATGAGAGAGGGACAGTAACCAAAGTTGAAGAAGAGTGAATGATATTAGTGAGAGGGGGGCATCTGAGGGGAGGCAGGATTTGACCATAACGGTAGGGAGAAGGGTCGAGCTGAGAGGTAAAGTATTGGATTTAAATGATAAAGTCGGAAGATGGCTTGGACGGAGGGCAAGAATGAAGCTGGAGAATGTGCTATGAGGGATGAGTAGCGGGGCTGGGGGGCGTCCACCCACGTCCAGAGACTGCCGCTCCATGAGGGGTCAGGTGTTGGTGAATGTCAGAGGATCTTGAGAGTAAAGTAGAGACATTAGTGAGTTACAGAAGTCAGTGGATTGCATATGGTGAGGGAGGGAGACAGTGGGGTTTGGTTATATTGGTGATAAGAGAGAAGAGAGTTTTGGAGTATTTGATGATTGAAGTGATTTAACCGGAGTAAGTAGTTGGATTGGCAGCAGAGAGAAGGACCTTAGTATATGCATGATGTGGTTATTGTACAATTGTATGTGAATGGTGAGTCCAGTTTTTATGAAGAGCCGTTCAAGTTGACGTCCTTACGGAATGTGAGCTGACGAGGCAGTGGTGAACCAGGGTGCTGAGCACGGAAAGAGACAGGGACGGGTTTTGTGAGGAAGCATGATTGTTCAGCGAGGTAATGGAGAGAAGTGTTGTAGAGGGAGACCAGTTCATCGGGGATCCATTGGATCAGTAGTGGGGAGTAGTGATATCTGAGTGTGAAGGTGGCAGTGTTTATGTCCTGAATTTTTACGGAAAGAAATGGTTCGGCGGGAAGAGGTCTAGGAGGAGGGTGAGGTTGATATTGAAGGTGATGAGCATATGGTCAGTGTATGGGAGTGTGTGAGGTTTACAGTCAGTGGAGTTAACCAGAGCAGCAATAATCCAAAATGTGACCTTTAGTTAGGGTGGGGAAATGAATGTGTTGTTGAAAACCAACAACTATCTAAACAGGATGAGAAGTCTTTGGTGAGAGGATTTCTATATATATGTCCATGTGAAATGTTGAAGTCCCCAAGTATGTCAGCGTTTATGAGATATAGATGATAAGTTTGATAGAAGGAATAGAAAAGTCATCTAAAAAGTCCTTATTACAGTTTGGCGGGCGGTAGATGGTGGCAACTAACAGTAGGAGAAGTCAGGTCAGCAGTGAGGCAGAGTATCGAAGGAGAGAAGACAGGGGCAGCAGGCACAGGTGTGACTTTCCAATCATCGCGTGAAGCATCGAGCGAGACCACCGCCCCGGCTGCCACAGCTGCGGGGCTGGCAGATGTAAACAAACCCCAGTTGGAGTTGGAACGTTCAACGCTGCAAAGTCATTTGGCTGCTGCCAGTTTTCGTTCAAACACAAGAAATCCAGCTTTACGGTCGACGAGGACATCCCGGTCCAGATGGCCCTTGGGTGTTGAGTGAGCGCACTGTTGAGGGAGACCGAAGCTGACTGTGGTTGCGCCTGTTCTTTGGCTGCGCTGGCTGAGCGAATCTGCCAGCGCGTGACCATGACACTGTCATCGTCCCGACCATCGGCGTTAGTTCTGTGAGCAGCGGCTGCCAAAGAAGCGCGCCAGCCGTCCACATCACTTACAAAACTGGTTAATAAGTACTTTCTGGTGTGTGTAATGGTGGTCCAGTGGTTAAGCCTTTGAGCTTTCATTCCAGCGACACAGATTTGAATATGGGCAGGGTCTGTTCATATTTATTTGCAGTAATAACACTTTCCATGACAGATTACTCTAAAAACTGTAAAAGACAAAGATCAAGGCGTCTTTTGCAGATTATAGCTTAATTGTAAAAAGAATCATTTGAGACCACATGTACCCAATTACAATAATGTCTCTTTTTGATGTGGGACTTATACATGTATAAAGAATATAGAATAAATGAAATTGAAGGTAATATCCTCTGGAGGAAACCCTGAAGAAATATGTTCCAACATCCATTCTTCCCACTCCTATTTTGGATAATTACAAATAATCTAATGTTATATAATCTATGTATAATTACATTTCTTTTATTTATTTTTTTATCTCAAATGTGCAAATAAAAAATAAAAATGCATTCAACATTAGCACGGCTCATGGCAATGTGAGAGACAGACAAACCACTGATAAAATAATTCCCTGTGTTTGCTGCTGGATTTGGTGTGTATCTGGCAACCTGAGTCAGGGAGAGTGGGAGAGGACTACACAATATGGACTGTGACTGCAGTACCACTTTTGGCCAGATTTTTACATATTGCGCCTTTAAAGCTGTAATTAACCCCATTAAAAAATGCATTTGTTTGACAGCCTTAATTAAAACATCTACATTTTCTAGCATTCAGTTGTGTCCAGTTACAACAACTTTGCGACCTGCTTTTGATCGGTCATGTTATTCCAGTGAACTCATCTCTATCTCCTGAGTAAGAAGAACTCTGTGTTCATTCATTTGGGTCGTATCAAGTGAAAACAGCTCTTGTGTCTGCAGTAAAACCTATTTTGTGCGTCCCCTAGCCCTCCACCCCCCACCAGACATTTGGACACACCTAAAAAATGTAAAGAAAAGGATGGATTGGAACTCGGCCATGGTGTCTCTTACAGCAGTTCTCCTGAGTGATCCAGCGCGTGGAAAGTGTTCCCAGGGCCCTGCAAGCCTCGGCATACGCAGCCAAGGAGCCACACATCTGGGCCCTGCGGTGGTTGTAGCAGCCATCCAGGTAACAGGATTGGTAGAAAGGTTGCGGGTCGAGCAGGCCATGGCACGGCTGGAAGAAGCCTTTGAGAGCGGTGAGTTTCTGGCAGGCGTTCTCACTCTGCAGGGCCAGGACAGCAGTATTGTCACATGACTGAGCCAGGGCCACGTACTGCATCTCGTCACAACTGCACACAGTATACGTACACATACAACGGTTTTAAAAAAAGGTTTCTCTGTTGCAGCTACTTGAAGAATATAGAACTATTATATTTTTGAGTTTAACCATTTTACAACAATGTTCATAAAAATAATGACATATTGTATATATTGTTTTCAGTTTTGCTAAGTTTTAACAAAAGATGAACCGAGCTGGTGAAAAATATGCACGTTTAATTTAATTACAAATTGCACATTTGCTCAATATTTAAGACAAAATCTGACCCCAAATTGATGCATGATACATTACAGGTCCTTCTAAAAAAATTATTTTCTGTAATGTACTGATAAACAGTAGACTTTCATATATTTTAGATGCATTACACACAACTGAAGTAGTTCAAGCCTTTTATTGTTTTAATATTGATGATTTAGGCAAAAAAAGTAAAGAAAAACCAAAAAATCCTTATCTAAAAAAATTAGCATATTTCATCCGACCAATAAAAGAAAAGTGTTTTAAAAAAAAAAAAGTCAACCTTCAAATAATGATGTTCAGTTATGCACTCAATACTGGATCAGGAATCCTTTTGTAGAAATGAATGCTTAAATACGGCGTGGCATGGCATGGCCTGGCCTGTGGCACTGAGGTGTTATGGAGACAATCAGCCTGTGGCACTGAGGTGTTATGGAGACAATCAGCCTGTGGCACTGAGGTGTTATGGAGGCAATCAGCCTGTGGCACTGCTGAGGTGTTATGGAGACAATCAGCCTGTGGCACTGCTGAGGTGTTATGGAGGCAATCAGCCTGTGGCACTGAGGTGTTATGGAGACAATCAGCCTTTGGCACTGCTGAGGTGTTATGGAGACAATCAGCCTCTGGCACTGAGGTGTTATGGAGGCAATCAGCCTGTGGCACTGAGGTGTTATGGAGGCAATCAACCTGTGGCACTGAGGTGTTATGGAGGCAATCAGCCTGTGGCACTGAGGTGTTATGGAGGCAATCAACCTGTGGCACTGAGGTGTTATGTCAATGTCAAGTTTATTTATACAGCGCATTCACAATAACAATCGCTGCCCAAAGCGCTGCACAGTAAAAATAGATCAAATACAAAAATAGTAAAAAAAAAAGTAAATAACAGAATTATGGAGACAATCAGCCTGTGGCACTGCTGAGGTCTTATGGAGACAATCAGCCTGTGGCACTGCTGAGGTGTTATGGAGACAATCAGCCTGTGGCACTGCTGAGGTGTTATGGAGACAATCAGCCTGTGGCACTGCTGAGGTGTTATGGAGGCAATCAGCCTGTGGCACTGCTGAGGTGTTATGGAGGCAATCAACCTGTGGCACTGAGGTGTTATGTCAATGTCAAGTTTATTTATACAGCGCATTCACAATAACAATCGCTGCCCAAAGCGCTGCACAGTAAAAATAGATCAAATACAAAAATAGTAAAAAAAAAAGTAAATAACAGAATTATGGAGACAATCAGCCTGTGGCACTGAGGTGTTATGGAGACAATCAGCCTGTGGCACTGCTGAGGTGTTATGGAGACAATCAGCCTGTGGCACTGCTGATGTGTTATGGAGTCAATCAGCCTGTGGCACTGCTGAGGTGTTATGGAGGCAATCAGCCTGTGGCACTGAGGTGTTATGGAGTCAATCAGCCTGTGGCACTGAGGTGTTATGGAGCCAATCAGCCTGTGGCACTGAGGTGTTATGGAGGCAATCAGCCTGTGGCACTGAGGTGTTATGGAGACAATCAGCCTGTGGCACTGAGGTGTTGTATGGAGACAATCAGCCTGTGGCACTGCTGAGGTGTTATGGAGACAATCAGCCTGTGGCACTGCTGATGTGTTATGGAGTCAATCAGCCTGTGGCACTGCTGAGGTGTTATGGAGGCAATCAGCCTGTGGCACTGAGGTGTTATGGAGTCAATCAGCCTGTGGCACTGAGGTGTTATGGAGCCAATCAGCCTGTGGCACTGAGGTGTTATGGAGACAATCAGCCTGTGGATGTTTCTGCTCCAGACTCAGTCCACTGCTTCCAAGTCCAAGGTCTGGAATTGGCCCTTCTCCACCATCCTCCTCAGGGTCCGGTCACCTCTTGGGGTTGTACAGTGTTGTCTGCCTTTTCCATCCCACAGACTTCCCACTGAGGTGCCTTGATACAGCTCTCTGGGAACAGCGGCTCAGAAATGTCGTTCTGTGTCTTACCCTCTTGCTTGAGGGTGTCAGTGATTGCCTTCTGGACACAGTCAGGTCGTCTTACCCATGATGCAGTTTTGGGAAATGAACCAGGCCGGGAGTTTTTAAAAGTCTCAGGAATCTTCTGCAAGTGTTTAGAGTTTATGTGTTGGTTCAGATGATTAGGTTAATGGCTCGTTTAGACCTTTTCATGATATGCTAATTTTCTGAGATAGGAATTTTTGGTTTTGCTTTACTTTGTCTGCCAAATTCATCAATATTAAAACAATAAAGGCATGAACTACTTCAGTTGTGTGTAATTAATCTAAAATATATGAAAGTCTAATGTTTTGAGAAGGACCTGTATTTAATGTTGCCACTGATCCTCCTGCAGGTGGTGAGTCCACAGGAGGATGGCTACTCTGTCAGTGACGACACAGCCTTGATTTTTCAGCGGGGCTTCAGCTGTAAAAAGTCCTGATGACACTGCATTGAGGGGTAGGAGCAAAACTGAGGGCTATGGGAAAGACATAATTTTAAATAAAGGTAACTGCAGTGACGTGCGGTCAGAGGAGGCAGGTTAGGCCCGGCCTCACCTAAGATCATGGAAATAAAAAAGAATAAAATAGAAACAATAATACTTGGTCAATCAAGTGATTTGTGCTATTTTATTATTTCAATGTAACTTCTCCTTATTTCATCTTTTATTTTTTACCTTGAAATTGCAGATTTGATAGAGCGGCGCGCTGTGAGGCGAGCCTCTCTTTGGAGACATAAAATCCTTTTAAAATTCACTGAGAGAGGCCCGTGCGCTGCTATTGAACATTTTATTGCGGTTTACAAAGTTCAAACATATTTCCTTTACAATCTACATGTCTACAGTTGAGAGGATGGGTCATAAATTGTGTTTTTGACAACCAATATGGGTCTTAATCGAGCTCAACCACAGTTCGTAATGTCACCAAATGAGGCCAGCCTCAGGGGGGTACTTGTGAGCCCAGAATTTGACTGCATCGAATTTCATCAGAAAGTGACGTCGCCCGGCATGGCGCAGCCGGGGCCCGAAAGCGAGCGCCTGGTGGCCGGGCCTTAGCCCACGGGGCCCTGCCGGGCTCAGCCCGAAAGGACGACGTGGGCAGTCCCTCCTGTGGGCCCACCACCCGCAGAGGGGTCCGTGGCGGCTCGGTGCAGAGAGGACTGGGCAGCAGTCGAAGGCGGAGACTTCGGCGACCCAGTCCACACACACAACATCTGGCTCTTGGGACGTGGAACGTCACCTCACTTGTGGGGGAGGTCGAGAGGTACCGACTAGAGATAGTCGGCCTCACCTCCACACACAGCTTGGGCTCTGGAACCCAACTCCTTGAGAGGGGTTGGACGCTCCACTTTTCTGGTGTTTCCCGCGGGGAGAGGCGGCAGGCTGGGGTGGCCATTCTCATTGCCCCCCATCTCAGCCGCCACGTGTTGGAGTTCTCCCCGGTGAATGAGAGGGTCGCGTCCCTCCGCCTCCGGGTGGGGGACAAGTCTCTCACTGTTGTGACGGCCTACGGGCCTAACAGCAGTGCAGAGTACCCGGCCTTCTTGGAGTCCTTGGGAGGGGTACTGGACGGTGCACCGCCCGGGGACTCCGTCATTCTCCTGGGGGACTTTAACGCCCATGTGGGAGTTGCCAGTGACACTTGGAGAGGGGTGAAGGGGAAGAACGGCCCCCCTGATCTGAACCCGAGTGGTGTTCAGTTGCTGGACTTCTGTGCCAGTCACAGTTTGTCCATCACAAACACCATGTTTGAGCACAAGGGTGTCCACCAGTGCACGTGGCACCAGGACACCCTAGGCCGGAGGTCGATGATCGACTTTGTTGTCGTATCATCTGACCTTCGACCGCGTGTTTCGGACACTCGGGTAAAGAGAGGGGCGGAGCTAAAGAGAGGGGCGGAGCTGTCAACCGATCACCACCTGGTCGTGAGTTGGATCCGCTGGCAGGGGAGGAAGCCGGTCAGACCTGGCAGACCCAAGTGTATAGTGAGGGTCTGCTGGGAACGTCTCGCTGAGATCCCTGTCAGACGGACTTTCAACTCACACCTCCGGGAGAGCTTCTCCCAGGTCCCGGCGGAGGAGGGGGATATTGAGTCTGAGTGGACCATGCGGCGGCTCGTAGCTGTGGTCGCAAGGTCTCTGGTGCTGGTCCCGGCGGCAACCCCCGAACCCGGTGGTGGACACCGGCAGTAAGGGATGCCGTCAGGCTGAAGAAGGAGTCCTATCGAGCCATGATGGTTCGTGGGACTCCTGAGGCAGCTGTCCAGTACCGGCAGGCCAAGCGTGCCGCGGCCCGGGCTGTTGCAGAGGCAAAAACCCGGGACTGGGAGGAGTTCGGAGAGTCCATGGAGCATGACTATCGGTCGGCCTCGAAAAGGTTCTGGCAAACCGTCCGACGCCTCAGGAGGGGGAAGCAGTTCTTTGCCAACACCGTGTACGGTGCGGGTGGAGAGCTGCTGACCTCGACTGGGGATATTGTCGGGCGGTGGAAGGAATACTTCGAGGTTCTCCTCAATCCCCCCGTCACGTCCTCCGCTCCGGAGGCAGAGGCTGAGGATGTTGGGGCGGATACTTCTGTCACCCTGGCAGAGGTCACCAAGGTGGTTGGCAGCCTCCATGGTGGCAAGGCTTCGGGTGTGGATGAGATCCGTCCTGACTATCCAAAGTCTCTGGATGTTGTAGGACTGTCTTGGCTGACACGTCTCTGCAACATCGCGTGGCGATCGGGGGCGGTGCCAATGGAGTGGCAGACCGGGGTGGTGGTCCCTCTCTACAAGAAGGGGGACCGGAGGGTGTGTTCCAATTATCGTG